GTGTGTGTGTGTGTGTGTGTGTGTTTGTGTGTGTGTGTGTGTTCTTAGAAAGCCATATGTGGTGTCCTATTAATTGAAAGAAGCATTAAAAGCATGAGCCTGATCTTAGCATTACCTGTAGATAGGTATGGCTGAGACTCTTGTCCACACTGTAACGTTTTCTCATCTTCACTTGGAGCAGGTTATTGATGAGGTCGATAGCTATGGAGAAATGGAGAGATCACACAAACAAAATCTGCATTGATTGAAGCTAAATGATTTACAGCAGCAGACAGCAAATCGAAGGCGGATGGAGCTACTCAACGATCAGCCTGCTTTTAATGCATCGGATTTCTTTTTGTTGTTATGAAGTAAATTTCCAGGAAGAGCCACGCAAAGTGTTCTCTACTCAGCTCTTTTAACTTTTCATATACTTCTATTCTCAATTTGATCTGACGTGTTATTGTACATTATGAACTTGTATTTAATTCGGTGTAATTTTACTGTGTTTGTACCTTCAGGAGAGATCTGTTTCCATGGGTTGGGGGGGTACATGAAGGCGGCATTGTGGATCTGTTCATTGATATCTTCATCCTCGTTGAAGGGGAAAGTTCCACTCAGACTGACATACATGATCACACCTACAGACCACATGTCCAGAGAGCGATTGTAACCCTGGTTCAGCAGGACCTCGGGGGCCAAATAAGCTGGCGTGCCAACAACCGAACGGCGGAAAGACTTCTCTCCGATGATGCGAGCAAAACCAAAGTCACAAAGTTTCACCTATGAATATGCCGTGTGGGTGGGAAGAAGTGTTAAGAGTCAACAAAACGAGAAAAAAATGAGAAGTACAACCTAGCATTATGAAAAAAAGTATTCAAATATTAAAACTGCATTGCATTGAATTCTCTGACCTGTGGGAAAGGATCCGCTGATGCTAATAGCACGTTCTCAGGCTTGAGGTCACAGTGCACTATGTTTTTGAAGTGAAGGTGCCTCAGAGCAGCCAAAATCTAGAAAGAGAAGATATTGGTTCAACATAATGCCTTTAAAGGTGTAGCAAGGGATTTCTGAGAAACGCTGTTTGAAGTGGATCAGACCGAGCACCAAAACACACTTGCAGCCAATCACCAGTAAGGGGCGTGTCCACCCATGATGGTAGAGGTGCCTGTGTTGCATAGCATGTTTTGCATAGCAAATTTGAGGGTGGAGCTACCAAGCGTTTCTCAGAAATCACTTACTGCACATTTAAAGGCCCATTTACACTAAGCACGATAACTATATGATAAAAACTTTGACAGCCAATCAGAATCTACCTAGCATTAAAGAGCTTGAGCATTTAAAGCGGTAAAAGACAAAACTGCAGTGCACGCTTTCAACAAAAAAAAAAACAGGCTGCTAATATAGTTATCATAATAGTTGTCATTCTGGGTGCAAACAGGCCTTTAGAATGATTATGAAAATGTATAGCTATAGTTAACTTCGTAGTGATCGTATCTACTGTAGTATGAACAGGCCTTCATTTTATGAAAATAATGAACACCACAGCTATAACGATAATGACACAAAGAAACAATAACGATATTGTTGGAATCGCTTACAGAACTTTTTCCAGCGAGTGAACGATAAAAACATTGACAGCCAATCAGTACCCTCCTGATTTTAAAGAGCTTGTGCATTTATGTGCTAATAATAAACATGACACTAGTATAGTTATCGTTATAGTTATCTGCAACATAAAATGATAAATGAGAGTATATGAATAATCATGTACTAATACCTGAATTAAATATTACTTTAATGTGAACTAATAATGAGTTAAGGCATGCACTAATCAAGAACAATAATTACCACAAAGTGTTAATTAATATATTTGCTAACAGGTATGTACTAACATGTATAGTTAAGGTGGTCATTATTCACACATGAATTCATATGACTCATGCTGTTCTTTTCATTATTAGCATGTATTAACAGGTTTGAATGTCCTTGGTATGAATGGCCCTTAACCTCTAAGAAGCATGTTTTAAGCTCTAAACGTAGCGCTGACCTGCGTGATGAGGAACTTGGTGAGTCTCTCAGGAAGTCGTCCTTTCTCACTTGACAGTATCATTTCGAGCATGTCACCATGAAGTTTCTCCATCACCACAAACACCTTCTCAGGCGTCTCAAACATGCACTCGAGATTCACTATACCCAAATGTCGCAGGCTCTGGGAGAGGTTGAAAGGACAAGGTAAAGAGATGCGGTTGAGTGAGTCACGTTGTTGCTTATTTGCATGCATGAACTTATGTTAGGTCAGGTGTTCTCACAATCAGGAGGCACACAGCAGGTTTAATTGTGTTATATGTGAGCATTATCATTCAGTCAATACAAAGGCACTCATTAGCCACACAATTCTACGTTTGCTGAATAATTGCTTCTATATCGCCCCCTGCTGGTCACCTGCAATATGGCTACTTCATTCCTCAGCTGGCTCTCCTGCTTGGTGGGGAACCGAAGCTTGTCGATCACCTTCACGGCTACATCCCGGCCAGTTTTCCTGTGTTTTCCTGTGCGGGTTGAGGAAATGATAATGTGTGATCTTTTTGTAAATATCCATTCTTGCATATCATTAGTGGTGCTTGCTATTGCATATATTTAGGACAAGGGATATGAACAAGAAATCCATCTTTGGTGTGTTCACTCTTAAAAATAAAGGTTCCAAAAAGTGGATTTTTGTGGTGATGCCATTTTTGGTTCCCCAAAGAACAGTTCTTGAAAGAAACATTCTTTTTCTTAGTGTGAAGAACATTTTAATAATCTAATAAAAAAAATTCCACTATAAAGAACCTTCATGGAACCATCAATGCCAATAGGAATTTTTATTTTTAAGAATGTAACTTGTCCTGAATTGGACTTCAGTCTAGAATATAATAAGGTCTAAAGGGTGCAGCTGCTCTTTTGGCAACCATATAGCAACACCCTATGTTTAGAAATGGTCCAAATCTAGTTTTCAGTAACAGACATACCTCCATATACCACACCAAATTGTCCAGAGCCCAGAACCTCATCAGCAAAGATCTGGTACACCATTCCAATGTCCTGTTGGGTACATCATCATCATCATTTATTATTATCTTAATCGTTATCATGATCATATTTGTCATCATCATCACACTATGTGATATATTGCACCTTTAAAGGTCATGTTTACTCACCACGTTCTCCTGAATCTGACTGTTAGACACTGAGATGCTGACTGACGCCTGCCCTGAAAATCAATCAGATTAATAGCCACATTAGTGTTATACTTGTACTGTATGAGGGTCGATGACAAATAAGGATGATAATATTAAATTTAAAAAATCAAAGTTTCAATGTAAAAAAAAGGTAAAACTGCAAAGTTCTTAAAAATTTTAACTTTTGTCTTCATGTTGATATGAAACTCTTTTTTAATGTCTTTTTAATGACTTTTTGAAAATGTTTAATTAATTTTTATCAAGTACTGTATAACTATCAAATTAAAAGCACTAAAATACTTTTATTGCATCTATCTATCTATCTATCTATCTATCTATCTATCTATCTATCTATTTTTCCAAGAAAGTTCTAAAAAGATACTTTTCAATATTTTTTACATACATTTTCTTAGTGATTCATTTGACGTGCACTACCTATGCACTTTTAAATAAGAATAAAATATCAGATTTTTAAATTAATAAAATCACATAAAAATTACATTGATTGATTGATTGATTGATTCATCCATTCATTCATTCGCTGATCCATTCATTCATCCATCCATCCATTCATTCATTCATTCATTCGCTGATCCATTCATTCATCCATCCACCCATTCATCCATTCATTCATCCATCCATCCATCCATCCATTCATCCATTCATTCATCCATCCATCCATTCATTAATTCATTAATTCATTTGCTGATCCATTCGTTCATCCATCCATCCATTCATTCATTCATTCGCTGATTCATTCATTCATCCATCCATCCATTCATTCATTCATTCACTCATCCATTCATTCATCCATCCATCCATTCATTCATTCATTCATTCGCTGATCCATTCATTCATCCATCCATCCATTCATTCATTCATTCGCTGATCCATTCGTTCATCCATCCATCCATTCATCCATTCATTCGCTGATCCATTCATTCATCCATCCATCCATTCATTCATTC